TAGAGATTCTATCCTTTAGTCATGGTACCTGGTAAGTTCAACTGATGAATATAAACAATTATTGACTAAATTTGTCCATTCTAAGAAGTAGTATCCTTTCAGATATTGCCTGGTTGATATACACTACTAAGATATTCTATAATTATAAGGTACATTATACATACTGATTATAAAACCCTTGCTCCAATAACAAGACAAGAGTAAAGTTAATGTATATTTTAATTACCATAGCCAAAAAGGAAATAAATTTTACAAATTACAAATTTTTAAACTATTAATCAAGAAAATGAACGAAGTTTACAAAACAACTCTAACTAGTCCGGTTAATAAAAACAAGATTAATTTAAAATAAGGGGGGGGGGGGTTGTTTGTGACGGTATGACTTCCAATTAACTGAGGGAGTAGATAACTTGAACACAGGCTAAAAACTAATCACCTGTATTGAAAGGGTTAACTTGAACACAGGCTAAAAACTAATCACCTGTATTGAAAGGGTTAACTTGAACACAGGCTAAAAACTATTGACCAGTATTGAAAGGGTTAACTTGAACACAGGCTAAAAACTAATCACCTGTATTGAAAGGGTTAACTTGAACACAGGCTAAAAACTATTGACCAGTATTGAAAGGGTTAACTTGAACACAGGCTAAAAACTAATCACCTGTATTGAAAGGGTTAACTTGAACACAGGCTAAAAACTAATCACCAGTATTGAAAGGGTTAACTTGAACACAGGTTAAATACTAATCACCAGTATTGAAAGGGTTAACTTGAACACAGGTTAAATACTAATCACCGGTATTGAAAGGGTTAACAGGAGAAGTGCTCATCTGAATTCTACTTAAAGCTGGATTTTGAATAAACCGTCGTAAATTAAAAACTTTAAAACTGATAATATTTCTAAAATATGTTATTTATATCTATGTATATTACTTGATCAAATAAAAATACTGACATTGTCTGACTTTAACTTTAAACTTTTTCATAATAAACAGTTAAAAAAGCAAAAAGTAGGTAAAAAGACGATACAATTAGAGTAAATTTGGCTACGTTTCGGAACTAATCCCTTCATCAAGCGAAAAAACGAAAAAACAAAATCGAAAATAGGCGAGAAAGGTGCTATAACTCTACGATATCTCAGCTTAGTTAGATGAACAAGAGAAATTTGTAATACTAAACTAAAAAGATATAAACAAAATAAAACAAATAAACACAATTATTATTCTAAATTTAAAATATGTAGAGGAAAGACGAATAAAATGTGATCATAAACTACTGAAGTATTTCTGAAGAAGGTTGTTAGCCGAAACATCAATCAACAATACAATAGTATATTTCTTAAATTAAAATTTCTTCAAGTTTTCGTAGATTTCACTGGGTCCTGAAAAAAAGATAAAATGATAAGTCACGCCCACTCTTCTGTGAATGAAAATAATATTAAAAGATGGTTTCCTTATTTTTTAGTGTCAAATTAAGCAAACTATTTGATAAATTGGTGTTTTTAATGAATTATCATATATTCTTAATCATATCATTATTATCTTATTGCATATAATTAAGAGTTTTAACCAATCATAAATGTCCATGTAAGTACAGTCTGAATTAACCTTTCTTGATCGGTCACTCATTGGAATTCTGCTGGTAATTCTCTTCTGATTTAGCTAATTATGAATTAATTATGGACATGTGAGACAAACTGGTATTTTTCCAAGTTATTAGAACACCTTTACTATTCATATGAGTATTAGCATTTTCTTTTTCATAAATGAAAATAAGGAAACCCATCTTTAATGGAGGTTTACATCCAGCTTCTGTTTTAGCTGATAGAGACGAAAAACGCCATGCTGTGTGCATTGAGGAAAATTTTGCCAGGACAGTGTCTTATTATCAGCCCTCAGACCTGTATCACTGACAAGGGAGACCGGAACAGGTACAGCAGTCCGAAGGTGTTATCCTGACCGATGGTGAGATTAAACCACGACGTGAAGGGACATACGGTATATTCCAGGGTTTCTATTGCCCTAAATAAAATGAGAGGAAAGATTGCAATATATAAAGAAGAAACATTGAGATTATAAAGTTATTCTTACTGTTACTGGGAATCTGTACTGTAGAATAGAGCTGAAAAAAAAACCACAAGAATTGTTTGAAATAGAAAAAGTCTAGTAAATTTCTCCTGGACAGACTCTCCAACCCTTGACCAATGGCACCTTATATAGTCTCAAAAACTGGACTATTTTATCTAAGTTAATCAGTAATAGTGTTTACAGCTCACTGTCGAAATTTGAGCCCTCAAATTCAACGTGTGTCCAGAATTATTATCTTTTCAAAGTTAAAACGACAAACCTGTTTTATATGGAATAGACACATAGAAATAAAAAGTGAAATTCCTAGTTTGAGATATTTTTAAAGGAATTATGAGATTTTCTTACATATAGTAGTACTTCTGAAGACTATTTACATATATTCAACACTCAAATCAACCCCCCAAAATGGCGAATATTGTCACTCAAGTAATACAATCAAAGTTGTCAAACAGGAAGGTAAATAACAAGTTAATCTAATTATAATACAAGTTTGATAGAAAAGACTCTCTGACTTCCAACCTTATAGTTCATTTCTTGGAGATATAATTGGAGATATAATTGGAGATATAATTGGAGATATAATTGGAGATATAATTGGAGATATAATTCACGATCTAGAAATTCTTCCTTGAAGAGGTTTTCTAATTTTGTGTCATGTGTATCAGAAACACTGATAGCATCAATTTCACCATTCCAACTAATTCTTAATCAGACGTCTGTGGTTCCTGTAATTCCACTAAAATTAAGTGTTTGATGACGTCACTAATCGCAAAAGATTCTTTATAACATAAGGCCCTCCGTGATTATTAATGTCATCAAACGCTTAGTTTTAATGGAATTGCAGGAACCACAGACGTCTGATTGAAAATTGGAATGGTGCAAATTGACGCTACCAGTGTCCCCAATACACATAAACATTTGAGTAAACCTTTTTACAATCTCTTTAAAATATGAAGTATAATTCACTTTCTAGAAATTCTTCCTCAACAGCTGAAGTTAGTCAATAAAGGCCCCGTATTATCAATCAATAAATACAATAACGGGATTTGATTTGGATCTTGAATAGTCTTCAGAATTTCTACTACTTCATGGTTAATTCATAATTCTTCCTCATTTATGATTGATATACTGAATTTATTAACTACCAATGTTTTACCAAACTGTTATTTTGGATTTGAGGTTTTGTTTTGCGGTTCGATAGAACTAAAAGGGTTATAAGACCTTCAAATATAGCCCCAAATCGAAATTTCTCTTTCTATCTCTATCTTCACTGGTGTCTACCCCGTGTAAAAATATTTTGTAATAAAAATCCACTTATGAACATAACTGCCCTTCAAAATGGTTAACTTTTTAAAGTGGATAATTATAGATACATAATTCTGTTTGATGCAGAACTGTACTACATCTTGGTGTTTACACCTAGTTCAGAATACAACAGATCTTAACTACTAAAATAAAAATAATAATATACCTTATCATCAGAAGCTGAAAGAGAACAAGATGAAGTTGATAATCATTATTTTATATATATAGTTTAATGTCAAGAAATTTATCAAACCATGTCCCCTTTTAACCAGGACACCGAGATATTTTCATATCAGTAGAAATAATCGTTAGAAGAAATCTTATATAAAATAATATACCACATCCTTTTGATCTTGGAAAATTATAAATGGCAAAATCCATCATTCACAAACCTGCTGGTTTCCTCTTTATTCGAATGAACCAAAATACACCGACAATAACCAGGACAAGAATCAACAACAGAACAATCACAAATGCTGCTACTCCTAGATATATCATGATGTTGGTCTCATCCTCGGTTTTACCCCCAAATTGGCTCCCTGTCGACAATAGATCCCTTGGAATGGTTATGGATGTCGTCGAGGTCGTGGTTGTTGTTGGCTGGTCGATTCCTTCAGTTGTTGATGTTCCAGTGTAAACCAAAGTTATAAAACATAATTTATTGACATATGGTGTTCGACTTGTATCTCTTAAACTTAAAACATACTTCCCACCATCAGATTCTTCCAGGTTGCGAAAAATAATACGGGCATATCGTATTGGGTACTGAATTAGACCAAGGCTGAAATTCCCATTGCTCCTAACCTCTTGAAAGCCGTCGGAAGTAATACGATAAAATGATAGAGATAAATAGGTATAACCTTCATAATAAATCTTAAATTTCAACTCAGTACCCGACTTATTGTATGACAATGTGGTGGTTGATAAGTTACCTAAGATCTTCAGTGGACCTGAAATAGTAAATTTGCTCTGAGACCTTTGACTCAAATTTCCAAATCCTAAGCTTCCTTGTTTAATCCACTCGCTCGAAACCGAGAATTGGTAATACTCTTTGAAACGAAATGTACTATCTGTTTTTTCTTTTTCTGAAAGACCTATTATAACCCCAATGCTGGAATTTTCATAAACCATAACTTTAATACTTACAATCTTTATAAACAGTTCTACTACGAGAAATAATAGGTCCATATCCATTAGAGACGTTACAAAATATATAACGATCCTCACACCGTACACTGACTGTGATCTTATGTTGTGTTATTCTAGTTTGCTTCCTTTCATAAAGTTTTCTGACGCCCAGATAATTCTGTGAATAGATCACAACATCTGCTGGCATCTGGCTTTTAATTTTGCATTGAAATTCATATTTTTCATTTTTGTCTCCACTTATAGATCTGCTAGTAATATAACTTATTCGTGGTGCATCTGGAATAATTTAAAAGAAAAGACAAAATGTCAATCAATGGAATGTAAATGATAAAAAATTAAACAGCTTTACTCTGGCACCATAAGCCAACTATTAATAGAAACTATTTCTTGTTCTATTTATTTCAATTGGCAAACGATAAGGTTCACTAATATTACACGTATTTTGATATTTGGCATGGTCCAAAACAAAATTCCTTTTTCTTAGACTGATTTGACAATTGGCCAATTGGTATTGACTTCCTTGAGTGGTATTTAGTAATTGATGATATTAACACGAACACAATTATATGGATAACAATTACTTTAATAAATAACTTGTGACGTTTCGACGATGATTCTTTCGTCTTTATCAAGCAATGATCGTGGAAACGTCACAAGTTATTTATTAAAGTAATTGTTATCTATATAATTGTGTTCAAGCCTAGTATTAGAACTAAATATATATTTTATCATAAACCCAACACAAAAGACATCTCCACTTTTTCACCATTTTTCAAATTCATAATTTTTTTACGTTTTAAGTATAGTGAACTTTACCTGCATTATCAATTACGAAATATGCTCTTTCATTACCATGGTAACAAGACCAGGTTCCATCGTTTTGGTTTTCACGAACAAAAAATATCGCAATAAGTGAATCGTCATTGATAGAAAAGTCGTAAGAACCATCGTTTGTAAATCTGGTGTAACAGTTGGTATAGGGCAGGTTGCATGAAAAATATTTAACTCCACCATACTCTAATTTTACATTGTCTTTCATGGTTCCAACATCACAAATCAATTTTACAAGACCTTCGTTAACTACTTTAGCTGGCTGGCTTTTAATATTAATAAATCCTAAAATTACACGCAAAAGTTTCAAATCATAAACCAAAATCAAGATTCGTAAAAGTTGGAATTAGATCGTTCGGTTAATTTTATTAGCTTTTAGTGTTATGTAAAATGAAATGAATGAATGGAGTTTTACGTCCCACTTTTCTGCACCATGTGGGCTAATGAAGACGGTTTAGTGTTATGTAGCCACACTAGTTAAGGTCTCAAGACACCGCTCTTGAACATTCATCTGTTTGATGACACTGCCAGCCAATCAAATTTCTTCCATCTTCCAAACTCGAATTAAAGGTGTATTACATTGGAATGGTTTATCAAGTCCACTGAAACTGAATGTTGCTGAAAACGATTTTTCATTGGTTGTTTTGAATTAACCCATTGCGATTCGATTGGTTAAAGCAGAATTCATCAGGCTAGGTCAAAGGTTATTGAAGAAACAAGAGAGGAGTCTTTAGACTCTAACTGGAGTGGTTACATAAAGATAAAAGCTAAAAAAAAAAAATGGAACGAGAGTTTGGTCTTATAATGATGAGACTGAAATTCGGCGGTTCCTGCAGGTGTCTGGCGACCTTTCAATTTTCTAATGATTCTATACATAATCTATCGAGACCGGATGTTAAAGATATATTATATTGTATACATACCATAAACAGGACTGACGATGAGATTTGTCAGGGACACAAAAATCAACAACAGCAACATCTAAAATAGAATTAAAATTTCATCGCAATAACAATTCTCTTTATCTTAAAGGCAATGATTCGCCATTTTCGGGTTAATTTGAGTCTTGAATATTTGTAAATAGTCTTCAAGAGTACTAGAAATGTTCGAAAATCACATAATTCGCAAAATACACTTAACACTATCCCGCTTTCTGATTTTATATATATATATATATATGTCTTAGTGGGGTCTGAAGAAAAGACGAGTCGTCATTTTAACTTTCAAACGCGGATCAATTTAGGCAACATCCCGAAAACAAAGAAAACAACAGATAAAATTCGTGGGAAAATTTTGGGCAAACCTGCATATTTCATCCCGCTATGCCAGAGCTTGTTCTATTGATGAGGACGAGTATTAACTTTGAAATTGCTAAAAAAAGGTTACTTGACACACAAACTTCAAATCATATAGGGAATTTTATGATCGTTATAGTCAACTTCTGGACAAATATTACAAATCTGTTTCTTGTATCTTGGCTGATTTGTTTGGTCAGGCATCAATTGATCTGGTTGTATCTCATGATTTTGACCTGTAGTAGTGGCGGGTGTCATGCCAAGCAGACCATGCTTACTCTTTTAGAAACACCTGATGGTACTACTCTTTGGAGAAGTCCACAACTATACAACTTTTACTCTCGATATTTACTCTTAAATTTTGATTAACGAAATTGTCTTGCTTGTCGGATGTATTTTACAGTCTCTTCTCTTCGCGATAGAACGCGTTACCACAGACATAATTCATTCCAGATTTCCGCATCCTGTTTCTTTTGTTGCTGTTACTTAGATAAAATAAAGGATTTGTAACTTACCTTGCTGGTTGATAGCAACAAACTAACAAACTAACAAATTAACACCCCAAATAAACAAATCTGTCAACAAGTTGTCAAACAGGAAGGTAAAGAATAAGGCATTGTAATGTATTAAAATTATAATAATAAAAGTTCGATTTTAAAAAAAACTTTTAAAAACTTTTAAAGGGGTAGATGCGCTATTTTCGGGTTGATTTTAGTCTTTGAAATATGTAAATAGTTTTCAGAAGTACTAGAAATGTACGAAAATCACATAATTACTTTAAAAATACTTCAACCTAGGAATTTTACTCACTATTTGTATATATGTCTTTTCTATATATCACAAAGTATCTTATATTGATTAGTCGTTATTTAATCGCAGATAATTCTGGACACACATGGATTTAAAGATTAGATTAGATTTCGATGGTTTGCTGTAAACACTACTACTGATTAGCTCGGATAAAAAAATTCCCGTTTCTGAGACTAAAGTGTGATTGGTCAAAAAAAAAATGGCGCATCTGTCCCTTTAACCTGGTTATTCTCTGGTAATCCTTTGTTGTCTGAGTTATAATAATCAACTTATTGGCAAAGAGCCCAGATTTTCATGCTGAGTGCATAGGCTCGACTGTATTTTAAGGACAGGTTAAAGGTCACGAGGCGTTAAATAATTTCACAACTAATATAACAGCCCTAGCTACGAACATTTATGAATTTACTCAGCCATTAACGTTTACTTATAGAGTGCGGAAGGGGTGCCAAGTTGACTAACCATGTGACAAGTGGTATCAGGACTTCAAGACATCGTATCACGAATACGGGTTTTGACATGGTCTTATTACTTCATTTTTGGGGCGTGGAAATGAGATTGATGTTATTTAAATCTGACCAATCAGATCGGTAGAACAGAAATGAGGTCATTAAACAAAACACAACACCGCTTTGCCGCCACCTGTTTGAAGAGATAAGAACACATTCTTTCCAAGTAAATTTTCTATATTACATATATTATATATATATTACCGAAAATCTTACTCAATTCTGTCCTGTCCATATTAATCAAAATATGTAATTGCATGCTGCTTTCGTTTTGTTTACGTTCGCAAACAAAGCGACATAACGAGTGATTTGTTTTGATTGGCTTAAATTTGCTACCAAAACAGTAGGGCCAATGTTGATTGGACACCATTTTTCTTTGAATACGTAATTTCTCTTTCTTGTATTACCACGGTCTCGAGGAAGTATGATGAATGGGGCGTGGTTTGGACACGATGGAAGTATGGCGAATGGGGGCGTGGTTTGGCCACGAGGAAGTATGGCAAATGGGGGCGTGGTTTGGACACGATGGAAGTATGGCGAATGTCGGCGCGGTTTGGACACGATGGAAGTATGACGAATGGGGGCGTGGTTTGGACACGATGGAAGTATAGCGAACGGGGGCGTGGTTTGGACACGATGAAGTTCTAGATAGTAAAACAGTTGATTGGATATATAATTTATTTCTTGTTATTATTTACAACCCACGTTAAATATAAAAATAGCTTTTATCTCTCATTATTGTATTACAACAATATCTCCAATTGTCTCTGAATCAAGAATTATTCTCTTGCCATTCAATCCTGAGTTGGCTACTCACAGGAGAGACGAAAAACATTTGAGTGTCATGAAACTTTATAACTTCTGATAGTAGTATAGTAGTCAATGTGAACACATGACAAGTAACCGACAGCCTAAAAATAAATCAGGCTGATCTTAAGTCTCCTTCACTAGGTCATTTCAAAATAATTTGACCGCATGGTCGGAACATTGAAATACATGTATTCAAAGTTTATGAACTGATAATTGTTGGTTCATATCTTATCATAGAACTTGCTTAAGTATTTCTGTTTTGCCATTCGCATATAAAAAATATCCAAACCTGATTAAAATGTAAATTTACAATATCGTTTCGTTTTAATTTTATGGGTTACTGCTTTCATTCAAAACTGAAATACCCCATAGAACTAAGCCATAAAACTATAAGTATTTTAACCAGTTGAGAGTTATCACCCTTTAATATCTGAAGTTATCTCCCTGGAGTTATCTCTCTTATTGCACATTTTGTTAGAAAAAAGCAAAATATTTAAAATACAAATATCATAGAAAAATAAATATCTGTACAAACAAACCTAGCTAGTATAGTCACAAACAATTATTATAGGGTCAAGGTATTGGTGAACGTCCAGAACACGTGACATAACACGAACAGTCTATTTTGATTTGGGGAAATTAAATTGGAATTGAAACTAAGCACGAAGTCAAGTATCCCATTTCTCCTAAAATTCAATAAAAATATGGCGCATTTTACATAAAGATCTCTCACACTTTCGACGAAAGTTTCTCTTAGATTATTCTTAAGGAATAGGAAGTGGTATATTGCCATTTATTACTACTATTACTACCTACAAAGAAAGTTGACTGTTCGTGTTTCTGTTTTAAATCAGTCCTGAATGTCCAGCAATATTCTAACCTGACTCTATATTATATATAACTTTGTTAAAAATCTTTAAAAAAAAAGAAATATTTACACATATAAAGTTATTTTGATAAAATTTAGTATTTGTGTTTTCGGTAAAATCGTAGGACAACCATTACCCTACTATATCCTGTACTTTAGATCATTATATTTCAAAGAGAGCTAAAACCTTCAAAATTTACAGATGAAAAATCCCTTCAACACAATTTCCACAATTTCTAGCTGCTACGTTGCCTGTCAAACAATTCTCCGTATATTTTACAGAAAGAATATTACAGTGCATGTTTGAGATTTGTGTCCTTGTTACAGCACCTTATTCACACGCGTTTTTCACACTTTTACACACTACTCATTATATTCAATCTATAAACTCATGTCGTTTCCACAGTCTCTGTTTTTGTACGTGTTTGTTTTCTTCCAGCCCGAGAAAATTGTCCATTTCGATGGTTAACCCATAAGTTCTTGGTAAGTAACGATAAATTTATTTTCGAAATTCTCGGAACAAGTCATGTCTTTTAAATCACATATTGTGCTCTGATTTACATTTTCAGACTTTTTTTTCAGAATTTCACAACCAAATGAAGTCAATAGGATTACTCCCTGTACCTCATAGAAATTATTTTTAGCACTGGGAGAAAGGATTTGATGACCATTCTTGTTCATGAAACTGTTAATCCATCCATCTTAAATAACAATACTGTTACCGATAGAGGGTTCAAATTGAAGCCTCGTGATTTCAGTTTTGATCAGCGTTGAACGAAAGTTTAACGGGAATATGAAAATGATCATGTATTCGACCCCATTAACGACCACTAGGGAGAGGTGGAGGTGGAGGAGGGGGTGGTGGAGCAGGAGCCGAAGACGGTACTCCAGATGACATCACAGCATCGAACGCAGACGATACACTTCCGGGTTCATAGTGCATACTTCCGGTATCCGGACTTTCTGCATCTAAACCACTTGGTATGATCTCTGGTGGCTCCGCAGTAAACTGAACATTGCTTGGTCTTCTCGCGTCGGAAATTAATGGCGAATCATTTTGGCGTCTAAAACTAGGAATTGGTGATTCGTTGTAACGTCCAAAGTGTAGAATTGGAGAATCATTGGTACGTCTAAAACTCAGCGACGGAGACTCTCCCGAGGATGGTGAAGGTGGTGGAAGCCCTGAAAGTATAAAGAGGGAAACATTTTTAAAAAAAATCAAGTTGAATCAGGGGCCTTATTCCCGAAACTTAACCTTAGATGGCTTTAGTGTTTCAGTCGACTGATTGGTCAATCACTTGAATTGATTTTATAGTTACTTCCATTATCCAATCATATAACTGTATTTTTAAATCTGCATTTTAAAAAAAGTTTCAAGAAAATGGCTCCTGATATAGATCCATCTATTAGTTCAGAAACACCCAACTATACATAGCCCATGTGTTCATTCCCTTACAAACTCTTGTGAGAATGGTCGACTTAATAAATCAAAAAAACTTTGCCCATTCCCGACTGTTGTAAGTACAAGAACTATCTAACTTAATCTTATACCATACCAGTAGCTATTACTCACCAATATCCTCATTTGAAGGTCGCCTCTGTCGTCTGTTCTTTATTTCAGCCATCATGGCGGAGTGAAGGGGAGAAACTCCCATATTCGTGGGTCGTTTTGTGGAGGATCCCGAGCTGGATGCCGAGTTTAGAATACTCTCGACATCGGTGGTGACGGGGAACAATTTCCCCGGGGGAGGAGTCGGTGGACGATGAACAGCACTCAGATAATAACCGGATTCGGTAGAACCATCGACTACAGGCATTGGTGGGGGAGGGGGAGGTTTTGGTGCTACTGGAGGTGTCTCGGGTCTCGGTGTAGACTCGAACACATTTCCAGTTGGTGATTTACTGACGACTGTGGTGACCTGCCCCTGGGCTACATACAAGATCGAGTCTGCGTCAAACTCTGGGGTTGGTGGTCGTGGACTGATGAAAGGATCATCAGACGATGGTCTAGAGGGATAGGTGAAGTCTTGATTTCGTGGGTAGTCGGCGGACGGGGTGATAAAATCGCTACGTGACGACTCTGGTTGGATGGTGGACGGCATCTCGCTCATAGATCGTGGGGTGAGATAATCCTCACGCGGTGTCTCTAAGGGTGGGTCCTCGTCACGTGTGTATGGTTGGAAGGCGGAAGATGTGGGTACTGTTTGTGAAACGGGGTTGCGGGTGAGCACTGGAACAAAGATTGACTCGGGTCGAGTTGATTGTGAGAGGTTGTGAGCCAATGGTGGCGGTTGAGAATCGAAAATGGAAACTGGATTCAGGATGATGTCTCCTGGTTGAGCAACTATAGTATTACTATTGACGCTGTTGCGACTTTCTACGGATTTGTTACGACCTCGACTATTACTGCGACTGCGATGTCCGGTATGGTTGGCCGGTTTATGCCGATGATGTGACTTATGGTCGGGATTTTTGACGTACTTCCTGTCACGTGATTTGGACCTCGACCTATTGTCTAATGTCTTTTTCTTGTTGCCGTTTTCATCATCTGAAGATTCGAAATTTAACTGAAACGGAAAACAAACACTATCAACTGACAAAAAAACTCTTCAATTTGTTTTTTATAACTGTAAAAATGTGGTATTGCTGCAATCCACCTGTATTAAGGGGCTGAGCCATGGGGCCATTTCTAGGTGAAAATTAAACCCTTTAAACGTTCAAAATTCATCTCAGGCCATCCGTTGGTGTCTGAAGGCCCCTTGCAGCCTCGAGTCCTTGACACCCCCCCCCCCCCCCCTGCTTGTACCTATCACTCTCTAAGGGGACGTGTAATAACATTTTTTAGGATTGAAGAACAATCTTTGGTTTCTGTAAAATGACTAATGACAACTCACCATTTCATCACCACTGTGCAACTCTCTGAAATATAAAAATATTGACGCCACATTAGAAAACAGTCAACCCAATCGGAAAACAAAAAAATAATTCAGGAGGTGTTTCTTCCATTCTTGGACTAAAATCGATTAAAGTTAGATCGTTGAAAACTTTTTTAAAAAACGATTCCACTAACTGAATTGCATCAAAATACGTTTGTTACCTTTTATCACTTATGTGGGTATCAGCGGCGTTTCTACAAGGTCCCCTCCCCCCCCCACCCCATTTTAAATTTTGTGGCCCCTATCATTTATGTGAGTGTATGGATAATTTCTTGATGGGCGAACATCTTTCAAACTGTGTAAACGTCAACTATTCAGACTAAAGCTGGGTTTGAACATTATCTTTTCGTGGCAGTTAAAAAGCTCAGACGGAAGCGAGTTGGATTGTCGTCTGCTTTTCTATAAGTTGAATCCTCCTCAGGGTAGGAAAATCCTGATGTCCGTGTCAGCGCTTTCGAAAGCCGTACCGGTGTCAACTCATATCACTAAATGTGTTCCATGCTTCACTTGATATAGTATCATAGTTATGGAGATATGACAAATTGGGGTGTGGTTTTTGAACGTTGATCCGGATCTTGATTTTAACTAACTTGCATTAGAATGTGGTAATTTGAATGGATTTCACAATAAAAATAAATTCAATGTAATTACAAGTATATACCTTATTTTCATAGATCCAGCATGGCCGTTACCTGAAATAAGAAAATATTGTATTTTAGATAAATTATTTTACTGGGTGGAAACTGCCAAGTTCCAGTAAATCTACTTGTTTCGAGTATATCCGGGGTTCACGGAGAGTTTATTGAAATAGTTATTGTCTCCCAGGGCAGTGTTATTGTTACTGATCCACTCAAGCAGGAGGAGGAGGGGGGGGGGGAGCAAAAATAAACACCAAAAACACAAAAAAACCTTGTAAAAATGTTAAAATAGAGTCAAGACCTGTTTAAAATGCTCAAAGAAGAACCTAAAGAGATATGATGAAAACACTGACAGTTGATGGAATTAAAAGACCATGGAATTTTTCGCAGATATGTAGTTTATTTCATGTCAAATTATTTACTCGAGCCTAGAGAGCAAGAAGGGAACTGTAACTTTATAAACCTGATTCACGCGAGAAGGAAATGATTGAAAACTGAAACACAAAATAACGAGTTAACTTACTTTTAGTAGAACGTCTGTAATGACCCTCTCTATCTTTAACCGAGGATCGGGCACTGACCCCTCCCTCGTCCACATACATCACTGGACCCCGGGGCTGAAACAGGTAGGGGGTTCCAGTAACCGGAAGTACGTTGCCCCCAGCAGAACGAGGACTGTCTCGCACTGTGAAGAAGGTAACTGGGGGTCGGGGACGAGTTGATGTGGGAGCGAATGATCTAAATTTCATGGTGGGAGGGAAACGACTGTATCGTGGAGTTATTTTTGGTGAGATGATGTCTAAGGACTCCTTATCGTCATCGTAAATTCGGTTTCTGAAAGGGAAAGGGGAGATAATTCAGTATTGTGAACATACATAGAAGATACAAAATAAGTATTATTAGCTATGTAGACTCTCTTAACGGAATGTAGACTTGACAAACCCCAAGTCTGTGTGACATCTGGTGTTCAATAAATACTGAGTAAATAATAAGTACTATGATCTGAATCGTAAAACGGAACCCGAAATCCAAAAAAAAGATAGGCAATACATTTGTAGAGGCTAGTGAACTTTTCACATGACGAAGTATATCAATTGTATTTATAATGAAAGTGGTCAGAGGGCACATGGAATCATGCGTTTGCCAAAATAACAATACTCCTTGGTAGACTTTGGCCTGGCGACACATATGTTCTGTTGAAAGTACTGAAGAACTCACCTGACAAAGCACCAGACTGTGACAGAGATGATACCGACTATTAATAGAACACCAGCAATCACACCAGCCACTATTAATCCACTCAAACCTTCATCTAGAGCCATGGCACCTGAAAATATTCAAAATATAACATTGATATTCACTCTTTGAATTCTCTTACAACTGCACATTGCCCTAGTGATACGCACCGTTTTGTACATCAACTTGTAACTTTACATCATCTTGTTTGATATCCGATTTCAAGAATTCTGTCAAGAGTGGGCATTGCTATATCACATCTTGTACACTCGAAAGCTCCATCTCCCAACAGAACACATTAGTGGCCTATTTTGGTCATACATTTTCTTCAAAAATTGTGACCTGGGAGACATTGTTTCACCACAACAAATTACGATTCATGAGTCTACAAAATGAATCAAGAATATATGAAATGAGTCACTAGCCATCCTGGGTCAAAACCAGCAAGGTTCTGTTAATCTGTTTCGCCTAATTCAACTCGTTGATGTTTCTGACTATTTCGTAACCGTTTTATAACATTCTTAAAAATGTTATTTTACAATGTGAAATATTTATATTTATATACAACAATTATTTATCACCTTCATGTGGGACAATTAGGCTATCATTTCTAACATGACATTCTGAATTTTTGCTGTGATCACATAAGTAACAGAAATCTGTATCGGTATCAACAAAGTTGTCACTCTGCCACTCTGATTCGCACCCCCGGCAAACTAGTATCAGTTCTAATCAACAAGTGATGACCGTTGTGAAAGCTAGATAATAATATTCCCTGTGTTTTTGGTCGAAGTTTTCAATTATCATTTATGTTCTTCAGGGCTTGTGGTGGGTTACAGGTACTCGGTGATAATGTCAGGGGTAGGGAGTGTGTGTCACAAAAATTGAGGATGATTTGAGAGTTGTAGTCATCTGATTGGTCAATCAATAAAATCATATCATAAATGTGAAATGGCCAAGAAGAATAAAAGAAGGTTCGAAAGCGGTACTCAGTTACATCTGGAATAACACCTGGTCAACTCAAATTCACTGGACTGTCATTTTTACACATTAACCCTTTTTAAAAAACGAGTTTTTGACTTATTATAATGACGAAAGGTCAGACAAGGTGTTTTACACAATAGGTGACTTATTGTACATCAAAGAATGCCGACACCGCCTCGGGGGTTTTATAACGAAACTGTCGTTTTACAATCCATCATAATTCGTCTTTTTTCATTATTTATTCATTCATAGTAGAATATAGTATTCAGGGTGAAATTTTACATTTTCTATAACAAATCAGGTCAAATGATGACAGCTAGTTGGACACGATAGTTTGGTATGCTCTAGTCTCATTCTGAACACAGAAAACTACCATTGTACCAAACAATCTGTTGGCTAGTTGGACACGATAGTTTGGTATGCTCTAGTCTCATTCTGAACTCAGGAAACTGTCATTGTACCAAGCTATCTGCTAGCTAGTTAGATACGATAGTTTGGTATGCTCTAGTCTCATTCTGATCACAGAAAACTACCATTGTACCAAACAATCTGTTGGCTAGTTGGACACGATAGTTTGGTATGCTCTAGTCTCATTCTGAACACAGGAAACTGTCATTGTACCAAGCTATCTGCTAGCTAGTTAGATACGATAGTTTGGTATGCTCTAGTCTCATTCTGATCACAGAAAACTACCATTGTACCAAACAATCTGTTGGCTAGTTGGACACGATAGTTTGGTATGCTCTAGTCTCATTCTGAACACAGGAAACTGTCATTGTACCAAGCTATCTGCTAGCTAGTTAGATACGATAGTTTGGTATGCTCTAGTCTCATTCTGATCACAGAAAACTACCATTGTACCAAACAATCTGTTGGCTAGTTGGACACGATAGTTTGGTATGCTCTAGTCTCGTTCTGAACACAGGAAACTGTCATTGTACCAAGCTATCTGCTAGCTAGTTAGATACGATAGTTTGGTATGCTCTAGTCTCATTCTGATCACAGAAAACTACCATTGTACCAAACAATCTGTTGGCAAGTTGGACACGATAGTTTGGTATGCTCTAGTCTCATTCTGAACACAGGAAACTGTCATTGTACCAAGCTATCTGCTAGCTAGTTAGATACGATAGTTTGGTATGCTCTAGTCTCATTCTGATCACAGAAAACTACCATTGTACCAAACAATCTGCTAGCTAGTTGGACACGATAGTTAAAATTAAGATAGCTTGTCAATCGAGTTTAACGATTTTACCAACTACTTCACATCACAATCTAATACCGCTGGTGATTTATTTTAGTTTTTATAAGATTATCACCAGAGTAAGGACGAGTTGATTTGACGTACTGGTAGATTAGAGGAACCATGTTATAAACTATTTTAATTGTCAATTGATGAACATGATGTTTTGTTGGCTAGCCTACTTGTTACAAGTCAATGTTGACCAACAAACTAATCCTGCTAGCATGACTTGTTGTTTCATTCCCAGACACCGTTCAAGGGATTGTGAAGAGATTTTTCTTAACTTCAGGGACACATGTACATCGATCGTGCAATTCCACTAAAACTAAGTGTTTGGTGATCTAGCTTTGGCAAGCATCTTTCGCTATACTGACGTCATATTATGTGGTTTAGCATTTCTATATTTACAGTAACCACAGACATCTGACGGAAAATTGGAACGGTGCAAATAGAAGCCATGAAATGGACCCGAAAGATATACAAGCTCGAAAACCCCTGTTATCCCTTCATAAGACACAACGTTTCAATACTTTACATTGTCATCATGAATTTCTGTAAATACTGAATACCCCTGATCAATTTTTACAGACGAATGATTATGATTCAATATCAAGTTATTTTATAAATTACACGTTTCGATATCTATATCTGGGGATTATCTGCAAAACATGTCTATTGTTATTCTAGAAATATAATATTATATAAATGATATCTAAAAATATAAATAATAAATCGTGATAAAGAAACAATACTAGTTAATTTAAATATCATATTTACGGTTCGGATCATTCTAATTGAATAATAATTACCATATATCTATTGTGTTCAGTCATGTTATTTTGCATAATAATTATCATATATCTATTGTGTTCAGTCATGTTATTTTGCATAATAATTATCATATATCTCTTGTGTTCAGTCATGTTATTTTGCATAATAATTATCATATATCTCTTGTGTTCAGTCATGTTATTTTGCATAATATTTATCATATATCTCTTGTGTTCAGTCATGTTATTTTGCATAATAATTACCATATATCTATTGTGTTCAGTCATGTTATTTTGCATAATAATTATCATATATCTATTGTGTTCAGTCATGTTATTTTGCATAATAATTACCATATATCTCTTGTGTCCAGTCATGTTATTTTGCATAATAATTATCATATATCTATTGTGTTCAGTCATGTTATTTTGCATAATAATTATCATATATCTCTTGTGTTCAGTCATGTTATTTTGCATAATAATTATCATATATCTCTTGTGTTCAGTCATGTTATTTTGCATAATAATTACCATATATCTCTTGTGTCCAGTCATGTTATTTTGCATAATAATTATCATATATCTCTTGTGTTCAGTCATGTTATTTTGCATAATAATTACCATATATCTCTTGTGTCCAGTCATGTTATTTTGCATAATAATTATCATATATCTATTGTGTTCAGTCATGTTATTTTGCATAATAATTACCATATATCTATTGTGTTCAGTCATGTTATTCTGCAGCATATTGCCTTTGCATAATTGATATTATTCTGTATTGTGGGTTTTAATGGGCACAATAGATCGGGGACAATACCATTGAAGAGGAGTAAGCAGTTAAGCACCTTAAAAGATGTTAAAACAGTTGGTGAACCAATGTCTCCACAATCCAAACCGATTCCCCTATCTCCATTGTTTGCCCTATTTTAAAATGAACTCGTAGTACCTTTACCAGTTTCAGAAGGATATGTTTATGTGAGCCAGGCTTATTTAATGTAGACAGCTGAATGTGCCAATTCAGTTTTTTACCCTATTGATCTGTTAGAGGTGAGGTAAGCCTGAATTAACCCAGTCTTTAATCAGGTTTAAATCCGTTATGAAGGATAGTCGGAGTAACTTTATGAATGGATTGACCTGTCTGCTTGAAATAAGGTTGAACAGAATGGAATTTTTCGCCACTCTCATTGTGTTAATATGAAGATAAGTATACATTCAGTACACATTGACGGATATTATTGTGGCGGTGGGTTAACCCCTCCTCGAATTCTGTCGAGAACACAAGGCCTCTGGCCCCTTAAATCTTTGATAAATAACCCACATTCCACTAGCAAGGCTTGGCTTAACTTTATCTTGGATGGCTCTGTCGGTTGGATCCAATGGTTTAAAACTGTCAGACGATAAAAGATCTCAATTCTTTCAATGCAAATATTATTTCAGATGGCACAGCAATCACTTTCTTGTTTTGGCCATCAGCATCTTTCACTTAAACTAGGTAAGGGGCCATAATCAAAGACACCAACCTTATGTTATAAACCGATTTGATTTGATAAGGCGATGTACTCTTATGAAAAAGCCACACCTACATAACCTCTTGGCTTCATAAACCGATAAACCGATGATGAAAAGCCTACATATTTCTACGGATTTAGTAAATATCCTCTGTTTCCACATGACCTATAGTTACCTCCCTGACCCGGTAGGTGGCGTCCTGTGTTCTATTCATACTATAAATGTTGCTATAGAAATCTTATGAATGAGGTATTGAAACTCGAGGTTTTGTTATTATGTTTATCCTATCGTTCATCTAGTTGATAATCACAATACAGTATATACTATACAGATTATAAGGCAGTTTATTTTATAACTAATAGAATAAAGAAATTCTGTTATAAGAAAATGTGTATTTAAAGCATGTGTCAAATAGGAAGTTAAAATGTGCCTAGATGGTCGTATGGTGGTCCATTGCTGTACTATTGTTTGTAAATTATAAATATACCAAAATTAACATTATTAGCTATTTGGAATCCTCGAAAAGGATTTTGAGTTGGAAAACCCAAATACCAAATTAACATTATTAGCTATGTGAAT